ATTTTTGCATAAATTAGATAATTTAGCATAAAACTGCAGGGGATTACCTTAAAATAACAAGTGATAATTTGTTTGATAATACATTTTTTTTAAACCAAAGGTTTATTTCCTGTAATCACGTTGCGACAGACTATAAACTGTTATAAAATTAACATGTATGTTTTCTTTCACTGAAATTTGTTAGTTAAAAAAATTTTTTTAATGCTCTCTCTTTTCTCTTGCAAACCCTGCTAGTAGCGGAGAATCACCATCTTTTGAAAACTTTTTTTTTCGATTCAATAATCTGCCTGATTTTCGTAAATTTGAATCTTGAGCTTTTTCGAAAAAAAATTTTATACAGATCCTAGTCGTGGCACAAGGTGGATTTCTTGTAGAAGCTTTGCATAGAAGAATGTATGACTGGCTTTAAAAGTTTTTATTTAAAATGTTGCATTTATCCTAAAAACTCTTTTCTTTTCTTTTTGCACGCAATATGTGCTCGTAGAAAAAAGATTTTAAAATTTAATTTCTTTTTTAACTCGTTCAAACGATCTTATAGTTATTCTAAAAAATTTTTTACAAAAAAACCCATTGGGTAAACAGTAAGATAGGTTGCTCTTTTATTCTTTCCTCGTCTTAAATACCTATGCGCATAATAAGTAAAGATTGATGCTTACAAAAATTTTTAAAATCATATTTCGTTTTTGTATTTTGCTTTGATGCATTTTAATTATGCTGTGTTTTCGCCTGATGAGGCAATTTGAACCGCAAAAAATCGCATTTTCCACCGCGCTCCTTCCATTCATTGCATCAACCCATAAAGCGTAGCCAGGTAGCCCATTCTCATTAGCACCACCTGTTATGGAACGTTCACATTGAGTAACACTATTCAACGCCAGCTGTTTAGAAGGTCGCTTCTTTTGCCTCTCCTCGCTCTCTCTCCTTGCCGCTCATCCGGGAACTTCTTCTATTGGGCTAGCCTTTGTTCCAAGTAGTGCAGTGTTACTCCATCGGGCGGTCACTGAATGAAGTCGTAAATCACATCGCTATCCCTTTCATCTTGCTACTACTTTTTCCATGACTGACCCTTTCTCATTCCTTGTTTAGTTGAAGAATTACGACCACACACGTAACCG